GTGGCCAAATGAGTCTTAAACACATTGAGTTGAAAACAAATCTCCTTGATTTCAATGGAAATTTGTGGACTAGAAGTCATGGCATGTTTATAGACTAAAACCATGACTCACTGAGGACTTGGATGCCAAATCTCTGCCGCCTGCATGGCGTAGCTGTGATGCATGAAAGAAAGGCAGTAGAGCAAGAGTAAGGAGGATTATAGCACTGTAGCGAATGTGAAAGCTAGGGTCAGGATTCCCAAAAGTTTCAAGTCAAGTTCTACAATTTAGCTCTTCAAGGACTGGGTTGATTGAGAGACAAAGTAGTGCCCTTGCTGCAAACAGTGGGGCTGCTTTAAGTAGTTAGCAGTGTGACTCAACAACATTATTGTTTTGTCTGCAAGAAAATGCAGATTCAATCTGGATAGAAGGGCTAGGAAAAAAAACCTCTTCCTGAGTTAGATAGACCAGTGTGCTGTTTCACTATAAGGCTGCTTCATACGTTCATTACCAGTCAGTTTATTAATTACTGTTATTTTCATCTCCTACTAGCTTTACTCTGTGTGTGTATATATATACATGTGATTATAGATCAGCCATGTAAAGTAATGGTTTGGTGTTGTTGTTTTACCAGATCGGGCTTGGCTGTTAGAACCAAGGAAGGTCCAGAAGCTTCAGGAAAAAATTTATTTTGCACTTCAGCATGTGATCCAGAAGAATCATCTTGATGATGAGACTTTGGCAAAGGTAGATCCTCAATTTGGACTCGCTGTTCAGTAGAGGGCTCAATGGCAAACTGTACAAGTGTATAATTCTTGTATTTAATTTATCTTATTTCTGATTAGCAAGCAGTTTTCTAGTATTTCACAGTGTTAGAAAGAATTGCCCAGACCCAGAGGTTCCTTGCAGGGACATGTAGTGCTCCCATGTTTCCCCCTATTGAGTGGTATGTGTCACTGGCTAAGATAGCTCAGCCTGCACGTCAGTGGGAAAAACTGCTTGCACAAGAGTTTGGGGCATTCATCAAATCACATACCAGAACCTGGAAGAGTGGCAATTGTCCTGATTCTGCAAGTGAAATACTGTCTAAAGCAACAAAAGCATGTCATACCATAATTAAAAGGGGGGTTATAGAGACAAGAAATAAACCTTGAATCTGTTTCATAAATTAAAAGACAAGATTTTGTGAAACCAATTCTTTGGTATAAATTTTCTCTCTCTCTCTCTCTCTCTCTCTGTTTGTTTTACAGTTAGTAGCCAAGATACCAACCATTACAGCACTTTGCAACTTGCATGGAGAAAAACTGCAGGTATTTAAACAATCTCATCCTGACATAGTGAACACACTATTTCCTCCGTTATACAAGGAACTTTTCAATCCAGATTCTACCACTGGCTGCAAGTGAAGGGGAAAAATTAATAATGTCACATAGTCCTGGAATGCATCACTGTTAAGACAAAAGAATTGTTTTCATGAAGACTTACTAAAAATGTCACTACTGCAACACTAGGAATGTCCTGCACTTAATAGAATTATTTTTCACCGCTACAGTTTGAAGAATGTAAATATGCACCTCTGAATGGGGCCTGTTTTTGTTTCTCTTCTTTTTGTTATTTTTCCCCCTTTTTAATTTTTAACTGATCATAAATTTGCAAATAGAGAACACTGGATGTTACCTTTATTTTTATTTTATTTTATTGGCGGGTATGTTTTGGGAGACAACTGTTTATAGAACTTTATTGTAGATATAAATGAAAACAGAGGAGTACTTTGCAGTGTTACTCTTGCTGTTTATTGTTCGAATATAATTTAAGAAAATTCCACTAAACTAGGCTTACCTGTTTCTATGTTTTTAGCTAGATTAATGCATGTGGCAATTTGTAGCTGTCTTGGAAATAAGTGTGCGTGTATGTAATATATATGGGCATGATCCTTCCCTGTATGGGTATACTGCCTGTTCATGGAGGTTTCTCCAGGGGATTTAAAAGAATCCTTTTTCTACTTTCTCATAAATGTTTGCATAGAGCATGCCAGGACATGCAGAACGGAAGGTCTGTATGCCTGTCCTGTCCCCATTCACTCCACCCCCCCTTCTGCTTGGTCACTTTCTGAACTTTTGAGAAGTCCCATTCCTTTAAACTGTTGGTTGAGCTGCTTGTACATACACCTAGGTGGGGGTAAAGGAAAAAAACCAGGCCTCAGTGGAGCCATATGGGAATCCTTGCATGCACAGGCAAAGATCATGCCCTATGTGTATATGGAATGGATAGTATATACCAGGGATGGCCAACTTCTGTATTCTCAGGGGCTGCTCTGTCTTTCAGACAGCGATTAGGAGCAAGAAGTGTATTTTGCGACACAACTCAATCCCCTACACTAGAGGTTAATGCCTAATGAAGTCTGTCAGGTAGGACATTCTATACAAAACCCAAAGAGGGATGCAGTATTAAAATGTGGAATCCCACACACACACATATCCTGTTTTAAAAACAATGTTCTTTTCTTATGGGTAAAACTATAGGCAATATTTTTGACACACTTTGATTCAAATTTGATAGCAACACCAGAGTCTGAATGAAATTGTTTTATGGGTCACCAGTTAGCCATGCCTGCTATATACCAATACAGTACATATATTTATTATAATATATATATCTATATATATGGAATACGCACACACTTGCTGTAGCTTAAAAAAATGCCTATTTTCTAGAGATGCTCTCCTGCATTTTTTAACTCTCAGTGTAATGTATTAGACTTATGTTGAGCAATTAGGATTTGCTCAGCCATCCATCCATGTATAATGACAAGAAGGTACCCTTTCTGATCAGTTTGTATATAATGTGTATGCAGTACGCAGTCAGTGAATAAAAAGTCAGGTTAGTATTATTGGTGCCAAAGCCTTGTCTGGATAATTCAAATGGACAGAGAGAAACTTATTGGGAGATTTTTTTCTCAGTGATAGGAATTAAGCATATGTTAATATTATAGAACTCGATGCCAATAGAGTATTTAAAACACAGAGTAAAATGTACACCATCCCAAATGGTACTTTTTTTGTGAATCAGAAAGAGAGTTTATTTTATTTTAGTAACGTTTCCTAAAACAAAAATAGTTATAGGGTTCAATATTGCTCTGATTTGTCTCCAGGGGAGTATAGGAGTGAGCCCACCCATATATCTTTGAAGACTTTTTAAAAAGTTACAAAACAACAAACCATCACTCATCAGCTAAGCATCACTGTGCGTGATGACATTAGAGTGAAGGCTTTCCATAAGCATGCCATCATCTAATGCAATTGTAATATTCCAGTGTCAGGATAGACATCTGTTTTCACCGGTTCATTTCATATCCAGGGCTCTGATAGCAGTTTAGCAATCTCTTAACTAACTGGGATGGTAGCTTAGTGTACAAAAGCATTCATCATTAACAGATGAGGCCAGTACACAACTGGGAAGTTAATTGCTCCACATAGCATATTCTCCACTAGCTACTGGGAGAGTTTTGTATTAAACGTATTTCACCCTTGTGGTTGGGGATGTGGAAAGAATTCTGAGGGCAGAGACAGTGGAAATCTTTTCTAATTCTATACTGGGTCCAACCCAGCATAGTGTGTATCTTGGTCAGTGGTGTGCCCGCCCGCCCCCGCCCAAGGTGATGTTATCAGAGTAATTCTTTGTGAGTGTGCAGCTGTTCAACGGCTCTCCGATAGCTGTACAAGAAGCTTGCAAAGTCATAAGTATTCCATATATAGTTTTCCCATGCTTATACAGAGGATCTTCTGCCCCCCAGCATTGCCCTGCTCCACCTTCCATTCCTTGTGGAAGACTTCCGGCAAATTCTTAAATGTGAACCATGGAAAGTCTCCAGCTCTCTTCTTCTTCTTTCCTTTGCTTTAGGCTTCCATTTATTCTCACGACAACATCTGCTGCTTCTTTTGTGTCACACAAGGCCATTCTTCGTAGCATTTTGACTCTAATTTTATTTTCCTCAGCAATCACAACACTTACGGCAGATCTTCTACCTACTGTAGTCAGTCATCTCTGCATTCTAGTTTTCAGTTTGGAAAATGCACAGCTGCAGTACCTTTCTAGGGCAGAGTTCCCAAATCAAACGAACAACCTTTAAAACCACCATTGCTCCATTTTCAAAACAGGGACACGGTACTTGACACATACAAATTATCTTAAAATCTCCTTCAGTATTAAATTAATTTGCTGCGCTACTGAGAATGCCACCTAGGGATTCTAACATAATTGATAAGTTTTTCATGCAAATGAGATAATGGAAACGCAGAACTGTTCAGGGTCCAAGCTTCGCTGGGGCCAATGTACTTGCACTTAATTTATTCTTATCTATTAACCTCTGAAGCTAAGAGTTCAGAGGAATTATTTTGAAGTATATTATGCAGAATTTATGCCAGTGACATGCAGGATCTATGATAAAAGTATGATCAGGTCTGTTCCTCCTCTCCTGCCCACTGGTGGCTGCTCTCTTCTATTCAGCTTCTGTATACAATTATCATCTTTTGTTTTCTTAGCAGGCCACCTGATGCTTATGGTGCAATCCTAAGCAAAGTTACACCTTTCTCAATCCATTGAACTCAGTGAGCTTAGAGGAGTGTAACCCTACTTAGGATGATACAGTTAAAGACACAGGACACATCTGACAGGCAGGGATTGTGCTATAAATGCCACTTTTTTCAGTGTGAAGCTTTTTTTTTTTTAACAAGATGGACCATAGGCCCATTGAAGTCAATAGAAAACTACCCATTGAATAGTCTTGGATAAGTCCTGCTTCTTTTTCTCCCTGCTTTTCCTCTTCAGACAACAGTATAGAGAGAGACGAATCAACAGAAGCGATCCCTGTAAATGATATCCCTTCTTCCTTTACTTGATTTGTCTCTCCTCTTCTGGAACCAACACAGCAATAACACTTTATATTGTATTGTGATAATGTAAGAGCACTGAGCCACTTTATTCTCAGTGTCTGAGCAGACAGATGTAGACTGCTTGTTACACTTCTACAGGGACTTAATTTTGTATAAATGTCACTCCTGCTGGCTCTCTGTATAAAGAATTAATTCCAAGAGTCATATTTCCTTCTAATGGAAAGATTACTTTACTGATTGCTAGGAAAACAGGGTAATAGAAGACACTCAATTAAACCAAGCTGTTTCCAAATGCAATATATATTTGATGATTGGTTTGTGTTAGGGACCTTGCAGGATTTGAGGCTGGGAAGTCTTGAGCTTTTTCAACCCCTCTAATATAATCTTCTTCATTTCCTTCTCTCTTTCCCCCTCTCTCTCAGTTCTACATTGTGGGGAAGTTGGAGACTTCCCAGCAGCGGCATTTGGGTTGAATCTGCTTTTCTTCCTCAGTTATATAAACAACTTTTCCATGGACAAAAGACCATAACTATTTTTAACTTTAATTCCATTCACACTGCAAATGTGGTAAAAGTGGAGGCTAAACCATGTCAATATTCCAATTTATTTTTAATTTTTGAATGAACGTGTACAATTAAGCTCTCATCACTAAGTATGGAGAATGCCGGTAGTCCTGTCCACAATCCTAGTAGTCATTAATAAAAAAATTTTCATTCCAACCATTCTTATGGGCAATGGGACCTGTGATACACAGGCAGAATTGCATGGATTCTCTTGGTTGATCAGATCAGTTCTTCTCCATTGAAATTAATGGGGTTAATTGCACATACAAGAGCCTCATGTGCTTATTTGATCAAATATGAAGCTTCAAAATGGTATGTAAATATAGTCTCCAATATGGTAATGTGGGAACAAGGCTTAAATCCCTGTGGAGCTGAACTCTGAAACCTAAGACAAACAGCTTATTTTCCCCTGGCACTAGAAAGTTGTGTGTATGGATATGTTGTGAAAGAGAGGAAGAGGAAGAGAGTGAATGACCCATTCTGACTCCTCTCTAAAACCTAACTAGTATCTCTGAAATGCTGTAAGGACCATATAGTTGAAACTAATGCCATTCTTATTCTTTCCTTTTAAATCTTCACACTTTGTAAATGACAATCACTGCTTAATGCAGATGTTGCACTGTATGCCACTCAGGGATATTATTACATTCTTTAAAAATAAGATATATAAAATGACAGTAATAATAAGGAAACAATTATTAGAAATGTGTTGAAAGGCACGAATTTTGATGCCAAAATGAGGAAGACCCAGACAAGGCTTTCAAGCCAGCTATTAGACAAGATGTGGTTAGAAACTGAATTCACTGTCAATATTTCCTCTGCTCTTCCACACCCTTTTCACTGATTTCACATTTGATTGTGAGCACAAAATCCATATTGTGAACTTTCTTCCTTCAGCATCAAACTCTGCACAGAGGAATGGAATTTCAAAGTACTGGCAAAATTAATGCT